CCGGGGGTTGCGTGCGCGCCGAGCGCCGGTTGAGGTCGGAGCGCGCCGGCGTGGTGCGGGAGCTGTGCGCGCAACCCGGCCAAGTGGTGGCCCCCGGGTGAGTGGGGCCCGGGGGAGGGGAAGGGAGGGGGTGCCGGACCAGGAGAGGGGATGGGGCCGGGATCTGGAGGGGGTCTCGGGCCGGGAGAGGGGAGGGGAGGGGAAGGGGTCCCGGGCCGGGAGCGGGGAGGCGGCCGGGGTCTGGAGGGGGTTTCGGGCCAGGAGAGGGGATGGGAGGGGAAGGGAGGGGGCCGGGGTCTGGAGGGGGTCTTGGTCCCGGCACTGGGCGGGAAAGGGTCCCCAGGACTGCAGCTGAAGGGGCTGTGCTCACTGTGCGTTTGCGGGTGTTTCTAAGGTTGGACGACAGTCACTGCTTGTGATTTTATCAAATGCAGGTGTTTGCCTTTAAAAGAACTCCTGAGCCGCCGAAGTTGCACTCTAGGAAACAGTGTGGTCGTTCCTTTTTTTCTGTAGTAGGTGCCTCCCCGTCTCTGAGATGCCGCGTTTGTAAGTTAAGAAAACTCGGGCAGCTCCACGCTTCTCGCGGTATAAACTGGGGGGGGGGGAGTGCGCTTCTTTAGGTTTGAGTAAATCTTGTGAAGCACGGTTGTGAAACCTGGCGCAGTTTTGCATTAGAGCTCGGGAAGGGGTTGCAGTCTCCCGCTAGTGGTTCAGGGCGACAGAATAGAAGCACACTCTCCCACCGTAGGCTCTAGCTCTCTGTACGTGCGTTTTAACCTCATAAAGAGCCTTTTTTCTTTTTTTGCATTGTGTGAATCCGATAGTCTACCTGTCTGAGTTTACCGGTGTTGTGCTCTGAGATTAGGTTGATGTGTGGGCACAGGTGTGTGCCCGTGGCGTGACTGTGGTTGTCATTGTCAGGAGCAGAAAGCCAGGGTAGGTGAGCGTTCCTGCGTGTGGTGATTGGTGCACAGCTTTCCTCTGCGGAGCCACAGGGCATCCTGGGTGTTCAGACCCTTTCTGCCCACGTTGGCCAGCCTCTGGCGCACGGTGCCACTTGCTTTGGTCTTTGCTCCTCTCCCTGTGGCTTGCACTGATCCTCTGGCTGTTGAGCATCTGCCGCTTGCCCTCCACCCCCCAAGAAGCTGATGACCAGGATAGGATGGGAAAGGACTGGTCTTTCTCTCAGCCCCAGGAGCCTCATCCTGTGTTCCCTTTTCCTAGGTCATTGTTTGGAGATAGAGTCTGGGTCCTCAGCCTTCAGCTCAGGCCCCCACGCCTGCCCACGGAATGCAGGTGGGGTGGAAGGGGAGCTGCCTCGCGGCACCCTCCACCGGAGCCCCCTGCCTGGCTTCTCGGAAGACAGGGGCTCACTGTGCCGTACATGTGACACTATGGTATGCTGCTGTTATCTTGGAGTCAGATCTTACCTGACCATCGCTTGCGCCCTAATGAGCCCATAAACCCGTCAATCCATAAATTATGGAGGTGAAGCCCAATGCTGTGTGTCGCTGTGTAGAAAACCCTGAAGTGAAAAGCTCTTCTCGGTGTTGTCCTGTTTCTCTGGTGTAGAAGGCTACCAAGGCCCAGACAGGGCAGTGACAGGTCACAGCTGGTGAGAAACACCACATGCAGTGCTTTGACCCCATCACCTGGTCTGGCCAATCGCAGGAGCCCAATGCATTGATCTCACCAATCAGCCAGTTCCCAGCTGTGAATAGTCTTTTTCTTTTGGTGTGTTTGGTGTTGAGATCCTGGGGTGTCTCACTGCGGTGGTCTGTCACGGGTTCCTTGAGAGCCTGTTGAGTGGCAGCGTTTCTCCTGGGATGCAGGTGTGAGTGAGTATGAGGAAGGCACCAGCACAGAGCCAGGCTTACCTGGCTGGAGCTGTTGTTGCCATCGTCATCGCTGTCATCAGCAGGATTCATCCTGACCGCATCGGGTTATTCTCTGGCAATGAACAGTTCTAGGAGCTTAGAAATGTTGCATCTGGGTGTAGTGGAAATGATCACCCCATTACCGTTGCGACCTGTGGTAAGATTGTATGTGTTTGTAGTGCTTCATGCCATCAGGTAGAGGTAGGAACTATCCTTACTCCACAGACTGAGGAGGGGACTGAGGTCCAGAGGTTTTGATGTGTGCAGCACCTTACCTTGCTGAGGCCTGCCTCGTTTTCTCCTCCGTGTTGCCCTCTCCTTAGGCCATTCTTCATCCAGAGAGTCTCAGTGGGGGCAAGTAGATAGAAAGACGATTTATGTTTTTGTAATATTTATGTGGGTTAAAATTATCTTGATTTGAAAATATCGTGACAGGGTACCATTTGTCAGAAACCAACTCTGTTAGTTATTAGTTTACCTAATGATGTCCTTCCTTGTTTGCTCTTTTGTCTGTCGTCATTGACTGGGAGATGCTGAAGTCCCCCAAAAAAAGGAAGATATGTAAAATAATCAGGGAATGAGTAAGGGAATGAGTTACCATCGAGATGGGTAAGGAGGAGGCTGTGGGAGCATCTTTGTTCTCAGTGGGCGTCTGACCAGCTTTGTCTGTGCCCCGTACCTGGTTTGTCTGCAGGAAGAAAGTCTGCCTCAGCCAGTCTGGGGTGAGCGGCGCCGGAGAGCAGGAAGGAGGATTGCTGGATAACGTGAAGGCCCAGCCGTCGCAGTATTGCTGTCTCCCTTGCTCTGTAGACTGAAGAATAAGGAAAACAACCTGCGATTAGTACCTCGTTTTAGGGTTCTAAAATTAGGTAGTGACGCTTTTTATTAAATTCTAAACACAGTTCAGTCAGTGCACTAAAGTAATCATCTAGAGAAGTCTTGCCTTGGAGTCAGGAAATTACTTTCTCATCCTGATCTCAAGAATCTTGAAGAATTAGTAGATTCTTTTAGTTAAATCATTTTATCCTTCCCTGTTGACGTGTGCACTATTTAAATATTAGTTAAAAAGACATTTTTGTCTAAAACTGGGGAAATTGTCATTTTGTTTACTTGAACCCATTAAACTTAATCTCTGCTTCAAACGGATTCCTGTTTTGTTTTTCTCCAATTTTCGCTTAACAGAAAACCATTGGCCTTTTTACTCCCTTAGTTCTCTGTACATGCGTGATTTATGTTTGCTGCAGTTGTTTTGATTTGTAGGTATCTTGTCTGATCTTTTAAATAAAGGCCTTTGAACCAATGGCCTTTGAAGCGTGTCTGCCTAAAAAATGATGTGTAGGTTTAAAGAAATTGTAGTGTGCGTTGTCAGATTTATCTCCATTTTCATGTTTTCTTTAAAATTAGTTTTAAACTGGGTCCACGAAATCAGATATCTGGTTAGAAGAATGGGTAAATCTTCAACTTTGTATATATTTTAAAAAACTGCACAAATATTGATATTAAAGCTGTAAATGACAACAACAAGTAATGTACTGTGTCAGTTGTCTCAGAAAAAATGATGCTTTTTATATTTGGGGAGTGAGCGAATCTAGAGAAAATACAGCAAATCAGTTTCACAGTATTTGCATAATATCTTAAAAAACAGGTATACTTCGTAATGATCGTAAATAGGTTTTAAATATTACTCGTTGAGCATTTTATATTTACAGAATTCCTTATAATTTCCAGAAGAACTTGAGCTAAACTTTAACTTATTTAATCTTTGTATTTTGAAGTAGCTTTAAAAGAGGTTCATGGTTTTCGTGTAGTGTTTTCAGTTTTGGACGCTGCTGGCTCCATACTGTCTTGATGCATTTCGTGTGCTGGTTCTAAGGTGTGGGAATGACGGAGTTCAGTCCACCTTGTGCGTTAACTGATAGATGTGTGCTTAGCCCGCGCTGCTTTTCACCTGAGCATGCCATGGGGATGGTGCTGCTTTTTAAGGCTGGAAGCATGTAAAATTGCTGGCATGTTATTTTGAAGAATTTCATGGCCCTCCAGGGTACGGGCTGGAGACACTACGGCTGTGAGGCTGTTGACCCAGCAGTCGGGGAGAGCCTGGGTGCATGTGGTTCTACCTGCTTTTGAAACATGTTAGGAAGATAGAGTTTGTCCAGTAAGTCACCCTGGAGCACACTGGAATTGTGTGCAGTTTTAAGAGGGCTCTGTAGGACTTCCTTTGTCGAGTCTCAGTAGCGGGCCTAGATTCCGACTCACTGGGAGTGGGTAGTCCCATCCTCGTTAGTCTCTTCTTCAGACGCTGTGGCCTTTCCTCTTAAAACCATGGATTCAGAGGCCAGGCCAGAGCGGGCCCAGGTTCTCTGCTGTGGCTTTGTCTTAGCTTGGGGTGGTGTCCAGCTTCGTGCCCAGCTTGAGTGATGGTGGGGTGTTGATGGCCATGTCCCCCCCACCCCCACTGCCCGCAGTACTTGTAGACAAAACAAGTACGCCTTGAGCTCCTTTTGGACATAATTTCAGACTTAGTGGGACCTTGCAAGAATAGTACCAAGAATTCTGAAGAGCTTCACCCAGATTTCCCAAATGCTGACATTTCACCATATTTATTTATCCTTCTCCCCCCTTGCACACGTTATTTTTTTCTAAAGGTGAGGTGTAAGTTGCAGGCGTGATGTCACTTTACCCCTGAATACTTTGATTTCCTAAAAACCGAGACATTCTCCTACCCAACCGCAGTGCGGTTCTCAGAACCAGGGTGACTGGTGCAGGGCTTTTCTGCTCTGCCGGTTCCCTGCTGGGCCCCAGCGTCCTTTGTAGCGCGAGAGACTCTGTCTGGGTCACGTGGTGTGGTCAGTGCCAGGCTCGCCAGTCTCCTCTGGCCTAGGGCAGCTCCTCTGTCTTCTCCCTTTATCTTTGCATTGTGGGCTGGTGGTTTTGCACAGTGGCCGTCAGTTAGGCTCTGGTGTGCATTGGCCAGGATGTCACCGGGGTGTCCATGTGTGCTCTGAGCAGCCCTCCTGGCGGCACATGGTGTCAGTTTGTGCCATTCTGGTTTGTTTGCTGTTGATCCCTTGGTTAAGGTGGTGTCTGTGGTGGAAAATGACTAATTTTCCTGTTGTAAGTGTCAAGTATCTTGTGAGAGATACTTTATTACTCAGTATCTTAAATTTTCATCAAACTGTTACCCACCGTTTTTGGCATCTATTGATTCTTGTCTGACTCT